TTTGCTGGTTTAATTTTATATTTCCATTTCTACCTTATCTTTTTTCTGCAAGCATCATTAAACCACACCATAACAAAAATACATGAACTGTTATTCTTTCCAGAGAAGCCATAAACCACCTCAAAGCTTTTCAAGTTTATTCTTATCTCGTACATCTTCCTCTGGTTCAGGGTTTTTTTTTTTCCCTTCATGCATTTCAGAAAGGTAGTTTTCCCTAATGTTAAGAATAGTTGCATTGAAAATGAGATGCTGCCTCTGAAAAGCCCCTCTGGAGGATTAAATAAGTAAAATATAGCCAGAAAATAAACTGGAACCTCATTAAAATAATTTTGCAAGGAGAAATCCGACTTTACAATAGGTTTTCAATATCACTTAGAAAATTCTTAGAGTCATATATATATGTTCTTAATTCAGGACCTTCCATTAAAAAAGACATTACAGAGGGAAGTGAAGGGCCATTTAGTACCCTTGTTTATATAAAAATGCATATTAGGCACAGATGCAATCTCCAGCCTCAGAAGACTTGGGATACTGCTGGAATAAGCTGTGCTTTGCTGGAAGGTGCTAATGAGGGTTGGCAAAGCTGCCACCACCTCGTTTATTCTGCCAGGGAATGCCAACCACTCTGGCACCCCCCCCTTACTTTTAACTATTCCTTATTTTTAACTATTTTAACACTGCTGAGGCTGCAGCTTCTAAAACAGGCCAGCTTAAAAAAATAAAAATAAAAATTAAAATTGGCAGGTTTAACTTTGCATCAATTCACAGTGTTCTGTTACAGTTTTAAAGTGTATAAAACTATTGATCAGAAGCAAGGCAACAAGGAGTCATCACTGACCCACCCACACAGTTCCCATTCCCTCCTTTTCTGAGGGAAAAGCTCATGAGGAGGCTCTTCCCAGTGAGGCCACACACATCCCCCCAGGGCTGGAGTCCTCCAAACCAGAGTCATGGTTAAATCACAGAAATTGCCAAGCTGGGAACAGATTTGGACATCCTACTTAATTAGAAGCTAAAATACAGGTGACCTGTTCATGTACCCCTGGTGTACTCACAAATATTTCATCTCCAAAGGCTTCAAAAAGCATCATTAGAGCAATTACTATTCCCTGTCCTTTGGACTCAGGAGAACTTCTTCAGGTACCTCCACACCTCCATCATTTTGAGCTGGGCCTTGAAACAGCTGTAATAATTAGAGTATTATTAGATTATTATATTAGATTATTAATAGCCATAATTTAGATGAGATCTTAGGAAGAAATCCTTCCCTGTGAGGGTGGGGAGGCCCTGGCACAGGTTGCCCAGAGAAGCTGTGGCTGCCCATCAGCCTGGAAGTGTCCAAGGCAGGTATGGACCGGGGCTTTGAGCCAACCTGGGCTTAGGTGGAGTGTCCCGCTGGGGCAGGGGGTGGGACTGGATGAGGTTTAAGGTCCCTTCCAACCCAAACCAATCTGTGCTTCTCTGAATAACCCTGAGACTGAAGCCCAAGGCAGGTTAAGGCACAACAACCCCTCCAGCTCCCAGGAGCCCCCCCAGCCCTGGGGTGACCCCGGTGCCAACCCCGAGCCCTGGGGGTGTCACACACCCTGGGGGTGTCACACACAGCCCAGAGACGCCTCTGCAGTGACCAAACCTGACATGCACGACGTCGGGGCAGCAAGTTTTGCAGAGAATAAATATCACACTCCAATTTCATGGTAACTTAGGAGGGTTTGCTGGCAAATACCATGGCTTTTACATGGTTCTACCAATTACCGAGCAATTACACATAACCTAGATCTGGAGGACACATGGCAGCCACCTAATGTATTCCTCTCTCCTGGAAAAGAAAAAGGCAGTTCATAGAAAACACACTTTTCTTTTTTCTTTTTTTTTTTTGTAATAATTATAAACCCTTCCACAATATTCCTGTGTGACATTATTAAAACTCCACGTCGATACGAAACCCAAAGCGACGACTGCCATCCCATTAACACATCAGTTGTGGGATGATCGATAAAAATTTGCTTTAAACTGCACCATATGTCGCTCCCCACAAAGTTTTATTATTCAGATTCGTCAGTTTGTACCTCAACCCCCCCCCCCCGTGCAATTAAATCCTGTTTAGCAGCACTGACCTTCTGATTTGAAATCATCGTTCCTGCAGCTGGTTTGGGGTTCCAACAGCACTTTTAAACAAGGGAAACAAAATATCTGTGAATTAACAGTGGGGTAGGAGGAGGTCTCCATGGGGAAAGCCCTCCAGTGGCACCTCCAGCAGCACAGCACAGCTCCCGTGCTGGAACAGGGAGAGGGGGAGGAAAAAAAGAAAGGGGAGGGGGGAAAGAAACCCAAACGAAACCCAAAACAAAGAGCGCCAGCACATTTTAACATGTTGTAGCATATTTGTAAACATCGTTAATCACGGATTAGCAGATGGTAATGTTTAATTGCACCTGTGGAAGCAACAAGACCTCAAGGTTGATTACATTTACAAACCGGGATCCGGCGCGGCGGAGAATTCCAGAGGTGCAATTCCAGAGGTGCCCCGTGGGCAGCATTCCCAGCTCCTGCCCCGGCCCACAGCACCCCACAGTGCTCCCTCCAGCCATGCCACCAGCTCGAGCCTGGCACAGGGAAAGGTGCTCCCTGTCCCAGAGCCCTTCCAGCCTCCCAGACCTCACCGGGCTCCGGGATGGATCTGATGGGACGAGGTTTTTGTGGATAATGCGAGCACTAAAGTGGAATGTGGGGCAGGAGCTGAGCTGTGGGCACAGCCAGCACTCCCCGGGGTCAGCCTGGGGAGATGAGAACATTGGTGTTCTCCCCTGACTGAAGATAAGGCAGCACCAGCACCCAAATCATCTTCTGAACCAAGGAGGACAAATATTTTGCTGCTGTGCTTAGAGACACTTTGATTATTGAGAAATCATTCTGGAAGGGCAATTAGTAAATTTTAAAATCAATTTGGTAAATAAGCCTCTGAAAGGAATCCATGACAAGCAGCAGGGAGGGAAGAATTGACTTTCAAATTACACACACACACTTTATTCATATCTAAATATCAAAGGGGCTCTATGTACAAACAGAAGTAATCAGGAAACGTGTTTTGATCTTGCTGATGTACACAAAAAATGACAATTAATGTCCTCCTTTATGATATAAAGCTGGGAGTTTTTTTACAGTTACATTACAGGGACGATTATAGTCAAGCTTAGGGCTAAAAATAATGAAAGACTATAAAAACTACATTTTAACATTTAAAAATATCCAGGAAATTAACTGGAGAGGCAGGCAATGAGCCAATTAATGGATTGCATTTATTAGATCGGGGGCAAGTCACACAGCACCAAGCTCCAGCTCCAGAGGTGGGAGAGTGCAGGGGTCCCTGTGCTCCTCACGGGCCTCAGGATGGGGCTGGGGCAGAAGGACACAACAGGTACAACCAAAAGTCAGGGGAGGTGGATCCCAGTGGAAGAGAGTGGGGTTAAAACTCACCACTGAGGGAAATGGGATAAATGTGAACAGCAGAGCTGTCCAGAGTGGGATTCACTGCACCCAGAAGAGCCCTGTGTTACAGCTCTCCAGCAGAAAACTCAAGGCTGCGGCCCCAGAACGTGCTCAGATTCCTGCCTTGGAAAACTCAAGCCTCAGGCAGCTCCCAGTAAGCCTTGTCTGATGCTCCAGTGCCAAACCAAGGTGCCCTGTGGATACAGGACTGGGAAATTTGCAGGGCAGGGGTGATGGACAGGCAGGAACTTCAGTGTACCCCTCGCTCTGTTGGCAGAGCTGCTGCAGGCACTGAGGTTTCAAAGCTTTTTGGGAGCCTTCCAGAAGTAAAGGAGCTGTCCCATGGTTGCTCACCTGCCTCCTCGTTAGAGGGGCTGAGCAGATGGCTGAGCACAGACTGACAGCACCCAGCTTTCCCAACCACACAGAGCGAGGAAGTGCCTCCTCTGTTACAGCACTGCTCAAATTAATTAAAAAAAAAAAAAAAGGCAGTAAAAAGGTAGAAATAGCAGTGAGATGGGAAATAAATATACTTACCTACAGGTCAAGAATAAAGAAATGGCTTTACCCTGATCCCTGCTGCTCCACAGGAAGGATTCAAGTGCTGAATCTTTGAATCTTTCCTCTGAAAAAGGAGCAAATCTGAGCCACGGGCACCCTCTGCTGGGGCACCCATGGCTGGCAGGCAGCACCACGGGGCTGGCTGAGGCCTCCAGGCCTGCAGCTTTTCATTTCAGCTTTAAAAAGAGAGAAAAGGGCACACTCAGCCCCCCAAATGCATCAGCTGTCACCTTACACTGCACCAGTTCATGGTTCTTCAGCAACCAGCTCACCTTCAGATTTGGGCAACAAAACCCTGTTTGCACGACAGTGTTGTTTTGGAGTGATTTGGGGTTTGTCCTGTGTGGGCACAGCTCAGGACACCTGTCACCAAACCAGGCACTCCCTCCATCACAGCCACAGCAGCGAGTCCTGGACACCTTTCAACAGCTCCTTGTCCTGTCCTGGCCCCCATCCCAGGCACTTGGGGTGTCCCCAGTCCCACAGCACACACCAGCCAGACCCTCCCAGGGAAAAACCCTCCACAGACCAGTTTACAGACATCATTTAGCTCAAAGTCCTAATTAGTCACTCAGAGTGATTTACTTGTTCATTTGGAAGTGGGGGAGGGGGCAGACTGAGCAGAGTTGTTTGAAATTATCCCTAAAGGGCACAGTAAATTAAGTGTTAATGAGGAATCCTATGCAAAGGGCCACAGTAGCTAAATAAAATAATTAAGGTGCTAAGTGATAACATTCTTTTGGTTCTCAATAATTCAGCCAGTTTGGTTTTCATCCAGGATATCTGCAAATGAAGCCACCCCCACCCCAAAGCTGGTACAGCTCAGCATCCAGTAGGATCAGGCCCACCACGGAAAGGAAACTTTCCTGGAAAAAGATCCCTATTCCCACCTGAAGGAAGTGCTCTGCTCTGCTAATCACACTCTGGATTTATATATGACACAAAATGTATTGATTCGAGTCTACAACAAACTTTACAGGAGCTTTATTTCCACGGGCTGTGGGTTTTTTTCCAACAGCTCACATCCATCCCTCGGCAGGGCTCCCACCTGGTTTACAGCCAAACACAGAGAAACCACCTCCTCATGGGGAAGTCCCTGCTGAGGGTTCCAAAGCACAGCAGGCTCTTGGCAGCTCCCTCTCCCTGCTGAGTGGGCTCAGGGTGGGCTCAGGGTGGGCACAGGGCTTGGCTCAGTGGCAGCACCAGCCGAGCACTTTCCCCCCACAGCCCAAATTCTCTCCACAGCTCAAGTGATGCACGACAAGCACAAAGCTCACAGCCACCCCTGGGTGTTTTCCTGCCAGAACTGAAGGATACAGCTGGATGCTTTCAGGGCTGGCTTCGTCTTTCCCCTCCCTGGAGCTGCTCCTCCCCAGTGCTACTCAGGACAGGAGGTGTCTGCCCTGGGCACTAAGCCAGGGATCTGGTGGCATCCTGCATCAGCCAGTGGGGCTCTGCCTGTGACCTGCAGGGACGGTGGAGACTCTGGGAAGAGCTCTTCCATATCCACACTGAGCAGAGCCAGGGAATGCTGAGCAGCCTCCCCCACCACACAGAGAGGATTTCAGTCTCCGTGCCTCCGTTTCTGGCTGCAGATGGAGTGCAGGAGGATACCTGCAGGAAAGTAAAAATAAATAAATATTGTGAGCGTTTTGGTTTTTTAAAAAACCACAAGAAATCCGTTCTGTGGGCCTGGAGGTTTGGTTTTTAAAACAGGAGTCTGGAGTTCAGTGCCCTTGTGCTCAGAACTGCTCTCACCAGTAGCAACAGAGACGTTGAGCGAGTCGACGCCGGGGTGCAGGGCTCTGCCAGGGGGGATGGCCAGCACCCGATGGCACAGCAGCTGTGTCTCCAGGGAAAGGCCCTCCCCTTCACTACCTGCAGGAGAAAGACACAGCTCAACAGTTGCTGCCACATCCCTTTCCCCCCCTCCTCAGCCCAGTCCTTGCCAATGCTCTGTCACACCTACACCCTCACCCTCAGCTCAGCAGGAACCTGACCAGCTCCCAGGCAGCAACAGCCAAGAGCTACCAGAGCTGAGACAGGCACCTTGCCACCTTCCCTTCCTGCAGCTGTTCTCCACCATATCAGGAGTGTTTTTGAGGAATACCTGAGCAACACACCTGCACAAAGCACAGAGCCTTGTCCGAGCACTGAGAGCCCCTGCACAAGCAGAGCTGTGCCAGCAGAGAGCTGCCCGTGCCCACGGGCTGCTGGCACTGGGACAAGGCAGGCAAGAGGCCACAGAACTGCTCTGGCCCAGCAAATCCCACATCCCTATTGATAGTGACGGGCTCAGCCCTCCCAGCACACAAACCACCGGCTGGGTGCAGCTTGTGCATGCAGACAGTTTAACCAGAGGCTTCAATTGATTAGTTGTTAAACCATCCAACAGCCCTGATATGTTTGGGCTGATACACTGGTGAAACAGAGTTGAAATCTATCCCAGGTCATTAGTAGTTGTTTGACTCACGCTGTCACAAAGGGAAATGGAAAGGGAGAGGCTTTAAACAATCCTGTGCGCAGACAAGTGAAAATGCAGAGGACCAGGGACCTCCCAGCCCGCTTGGCTCCCCAAAGAATTCTTCCACATTCATTATTTAGAGCTACACAGACAGTTACACAGCTGCAGGAATAGCCAGCTCGTTCCAAAGACCTCTGGCAAAGCAGGCTCAGCATGTGGGAACCAAACATTCCCCTCCAACAGCCATAGCCTGACCTGGCTGAACCCCAGACTGGTCCTGGAATGGCACTGCCAGGGCTCACAGTGCCCACCTGGGGCTTCTGCCTGCCTGACCAGGGTTCCCATGGCCTCACTCAGCTCACCTAAATTCAGCCACTTCCCTGAAGTTTTAACAGCCCACGTTCCTGTGCCACTGGAGACTCCTTCAAACTCAGCAAGCTGGGCTGAGTTGCCCCGAAGTTCCTTCCCTGGTGTCTATTCCAGCAGCTCCCCACACATGGATCTGTGTGATCCCTCTGACCACACAGGGAAGGAAAGGGCCACTACTCCCATTTTTTGGCTGGAAGCTGCTGCCCAGTCTCTCGTTCTGCTGGGCTGCTCTAACTGGCAGGATGCACTTTTGGGTAAGGAAGAGGATGCTTTGGGTAATGCATCTTGCATCACCTCCCCAGATGAAATAAGCCATTTGCCAAAGGCAACCTTTGGCTGGGGTGAATGAACCTTCATAAAACCCAAATCCCATCCCAACCATTCTTTCCCTCCTGCTGTAAGCCAGCAGTGCAGACAAGGCCTGGGGGAGTTATCCAAGGTCACAGAGTGACACCAGGAATCAGAGCCAGGCCTCCCACGGCCCAACCTGCCTCTTCATCACTACACCATGGTGGCTCTCCAGGGATGCTTAAAAAAAACCCCAAAAATAGCATCCTACTTTTTCCTGATTCAACATAGAAAAGTTTTACAACTTACAGTCATATTTGCCTCCTGAGCCTCCCAAACCACACTCCCTTGGGACTCTCCAACTGGGACAGAGGTGCAATGGCTCCTGGAGCAATCCTCTCCTGTCCCTGATAAGGGTCTTACGATTCCTAATAAAGGTACCAATTTTGCTTCCAGCTTTTACAAAGCTTTTTATGGATCTAGCTGTTTAAAATAATTAGGAACCATAAATTCAGGGCAAAAAGGTTTGCACAGTGTGACACGAGGGAGGGAGTATTGACTGAATCAGATTAAAACCTGGTTTATACTGGTGAACAAAACACTTCCCACTTCAGATCTTAAACTTCCATCTCTTAGCTTTGTTCCTCACTTCAAAGCCCAGTGTTAGAGCTCGGTGAAATGATAAAACAGGTTTCCTGCCCCACTTAACAATCAACACCACCAACAGCTGCAGTTCCCAGGGCAGAAGTTCCAACCCAGGCAGCGGCAGCAGCAGAGAAACACAAAATGAGCATCTCCACAAAACCCTCGACCCCGTGGACAGCCTTAAACCCCGAGCTACAGACTGCAGGTCTGAGAGGAACAAATTGCCCAGGCACTCTCCTCACTCAGCCATCCAAGTGCTCCCCATCTGTTCCTGCTCACAGCAGGCTCCCAGTCCTGCGGGCAGCCAGCCCTGCCTGGCACCTCCAGCAGAGACTCCAGAGCACACAACGTTGAGCTGGACTGTCCAAATCTCTCCCTGCCAAGCCAGCCAGGATGCCAGGAGGGTGCACTGGGAGCCTGCAAACGCTTAACTTACAAGACAATCCGTGTGGTGCCAGGAAGCTCGCTCCCAGGCTGAATTATCTCTGCTGCTCTCTGCGGCTGCAGGAACGCTACATATTCAGATCTAGGACGTTTCTCCCCACCACCTCAGCACCAGATGACTGTAATGTTCAATTTTCTTTCCAGAGAAGAGTTAGTGCTCAGCAGAGAGTTGAAATCATTACTGCTGCAAGGTCCGGGAGCTCTCCTCATGCATCTACCAATCAGCCTCCAATCTCCCCTGACAAAAGGATATTTGGACTTTTTCCTGGAGAAATCTCTCATAACTCAAGGTAACGACACCACTGCCACTTTCACCCCCTTCCCTTCTGCGGGCGTTGTCGCCGTTTCTGGGATGCATTTCTCTGTGGTCCATCAGCAGTGCTGCCAGCCCTGCCTGCTCCCTTTGTGACACGGCTCCACACATCTTGTAGAGGTGCCAGATTTGCGGCGCTGTCTTGTCAGTATTTCCAGGGGTTCAATAAACATTTTAATTAAAGGAATGTCTCCCGAGCCAAGAGAACCGCGGCACGGGGCAGGAGTACAGCCCCTCCGTGGCTCGGGGCCAGCACGACTTGCAGGTGGGAAAGCTCAGAGCAGCTCCTGTGCCAGGTGACACGAGGTGGGGGGACACAGCACAGCCACACACAGGGGCCTGGAGCAGCACTTTTGGGGGGAGTTTCTTTCCTGCCCTTCCTTTCAGATCCTGGGAGGCTGCACGACCCCAAACTCTGCCCACAAAAGCAGCATCCTTTGCCAGTATCCTCTGCACTGAGGGAGCAGAAGCCCTGCAGGAATTACCCCGGTCAGGGGCTCAGGGGAGTGGCACCCACTGCCCCAACAGGGAGAGATTATACCTGCTCCTGCAGCCAACACCTCCTGCCTTCTCCTGGCCGTACAAAACCAGCCACTGACTGCTCCCTGTGATGGTCTCTGTGCCACAAAACCCAACCTTGCATTCAGACCATGCCAAACAAAAGCTCCTCATGGCTCTTTCCAGACCTGGGCACAATATATTCCTGCTTTTATCAGAGGAAACATGACAGAGCCATGACATGGCACCGTTCACCAGCACAGCCTCTGCACAGCAGGAGCAAACACACACCTCTGGGGCTCCCCCTCACCTCTGGGGTTCACCCACACAGAAAATCCAGGCTTGGGGCTCTGGGACAGGATCAGAGGCAGCACAGAGCACAGTTCAGAGCACCACACCGTGGCTGCCCTGGCACTGGAACTGCCACCCAGACCCCGTGCAGCTGCTCACCTCCCCACACAAACTGCTTGTTCCTGCAGCTCCTCCTGGGAGGCTTCTCAGCTCCCCCTGCTCCTCTGGGTCCCTGTTTCCCAGACCATTCCATGAGTCCTGCTCTGCTTTTCTTTTCCAGACAAAGTGTGATGTGACATAACAGACCTGCAGCCTTGGAGTGAAACCTGCCCCCAATGGTTCCCTCACACCTGCACCCCCACCCAGCCCACAGCTCTGGAAATTCAAATACCTATCACTACAATAAGGGGTTTATCCCACCGAAATTCCAAGCAACTGATGACAGGGACATCTTCCACATCCTCGGGTTTGCTGGTTGTCCCCACCACTTCCCAGCCTTCTGCAATTTTAGCCTAGAAAAGGAAGGGAAACAAATGTTAAAGAGTTGCCAATTTTTCGAGCTTAAAAAGAAAATAAGTCATCTATGGAAAGACACTGGTGGGGTTTTTTTTATATTTTCAGTTAAGCTGACTGGTTTTTCTGTATTTTTTTTTGCATCCCTTGAATTTTTACCACCGAAGTCCTCCCACTATCAGCACACAAACCTTGACTTAATAAACAACAACAACAACAAAGTCATTTTCCTTCTGGCATTTATTCCAGTTCAGTAAGCAAACAAACAGCAACTGAAAAGCTTTTTTTTTTTTTTCTGCTCATGCAACAGTTCTAGGAAGGTTTTTTTTGCCAGGAAAGCATGCAAAAAGAGTAGTGTTAAACAAATTAGCACAAGGCTAATGCACAGAGCAGTGCACTGGAAGTTGCAGAAGCCCACAGTGACATTTGCAAACTCAGATGCCAAAATTCAGCTCACACAAAAACACTCAAACACTCAGTGCCTCACATAACCAGAGAACCAAACCTCCCTCCTGCACCCTGGTAAAAAGAGCCTTAATTATTTGTGTTGGAAATCCATTTTAACAATAAAAGAGCTGCTGCTTCTTGCCAGCCTCATTTCCTGGGAAACTGGCACTTTTTACACGATGTTATATCAAATTTACTCCAGCCAGGCAATGCCAGGGGTGAGGCCCGTGAGTCCAGGTCCAATTAAATGATCTGCTGCAATGGCTCAAATTGTTAATAATTCAAGCTTTACAGTAACAAAGTGATTCTTCCAGCTTTTCAGTTAAATACCAATGTATTTTATGTATCTTTCATTTCACCATCACCCAGAGCTCCAGCTGCCACAGACCCATTTCTAGCACCAAGTGGGCAGAACTGGAGATCCTGCAGCTCCCTCGTGCCCACAACGTGTCCCCAGCCCAGCCAGGGCACAGGTGACCCCCACAGGGGTCAGGGCAGTCACACTGTGCCCATTCACAGCCACATCCCCGGGCTTGTTTCAGTTTAAATCCCCTTTTTCCACGTGCATTCCCTTTCCTTCTGCAGCATGTTCTGCAAAGGGCCCTATCTCGCCTCACTGCACAGGTACAGTGTAAAAAGATTCCCAGCAGCTCACCAGCCCTGCTTTCTCCTCTATTCCCTGCTCCAAAGGCTGCTCCAAAGGCTGCCCAATGCTGCCATCGTGTGCCTGGGCCCCGGGATGCTGCCTCTGCCACACTCCAGGTACAGCTCCAGCCTCCAGGGAGGGAAGGGACACAGATCCCAGCATACTGAGCTCACAGCCCGAGTGTGGGAGAGCCACAGGGCTGTCCTGCTACCACCAGCTTCCAGGAAAAACACCCACAGCCCATCCCCAGCCGATGGAATGGGGCTGGAGGGGGGGTGTGTGCCTGTCACTGGTGGTCCCACAGCACAGACCACCGGCAGCAAACAGGAGTGCACAGCAGGAGCACAGACACTGCAAACAACTCAGCCCTCCTCCTGATCCACACAGGCAATATTTGAGTTTTCTTCGAAGGAAAGGGGGGGGAAAAAACCAGGGAATCATTCTACCTTCAAAAAGCTCTGGAGATCATCTGTGCTGTAGACATCAAAGACCTCCATGGCTCCAGCACTGGCTTTGCTCACTGTCGGAGTCAGGGGGCAGCTGCAAGGGAAAAACAAAGGAAAAGTGTCATACGAGAGCCAAAAAAGGAAATCCAGGCGAATTTCTGTCTCTGTATTCCCTTCTATTGCCTCTGCAACCCACTCCAACCAGTGCACTACGATCCCCCTCACTGTAGGGCTGTGTTTTACTATGGAGAGCAGGAGGGCTCAGGAGTTCACCCAGGAAATAGGTCCCAGCAGTTTTGTGCAGATGGGACAACTGAAATACGAAATGGGTTAAAACAAGTGCCCAGAGAGGGTTCCTTCCCAGCCTGGAATACCACATCCCTCAGCCTGCCTGTGGAGCAGCAGCCACCCAAA